TATTTTTGTATGGGGATGTTTTACTTCATGGCGGATATACTTGTGGCCATTTTTACTGACTGATTCTAAATGCTATTAAAAATTCATTTATCTTTTATAAACTTGGCATAGGCTGTTAAATGGGCACAAGACTTCCTGTTGCTGTCACTTTCATAAAGATCACATCTTCATGATCACATAAAAGCATTTAAAGAAAGTTTTTAGTCCGAGCCCATGTCAGTCTTAATGTTGACATTAATTTTCATTTTTACACCAGACATATATATCGGTTCAAAATATTGGATATCAGTTTACTGCTATATATATATATATATATATATATATATATTTATGTAAATATATATATGTAAATATATATATATATATATATATATATATAATACATACTTTTTATAAACGTGCTAAAAAATGTTAATTATATGATTATATATTTTTTATATATATATAAAATAGACACTCAATCAGCATGAAGTATAATAATATAAATCATATAAAATCATCATAATCATATAAAATATAAATATAAAAGTAATTTATCTAATTATCTTCTCAATTATCTTTATATAATACATTATATAGATTTTAATGTATGAGTCAAAATGTTAGACCAATAATTGAGATTATTTTTAAAGTTATAACTATATATAATATAAAATCATTTTATATAAAAATGTATACAATAAAAAAAATCAACATATATAAAATATAAATATAAAAAGTCATTAAATTATGTCATTATCCTCTCAATTATCTTTATACAATATATGATATTGAAATAGCGTGATTTATTATATCTAAAAATAAATTAACATTTTACATGGTCACATTATTTAAAGAAACATTTATGTATGTAGCACAGATGTCCAAGACAAGTTAGATGCCAAAATGCAATACTTTAAAATAAGAAGTTGGTTCATAAATCTGCCATAGAAGCTCCTACTAATTATACACTTGGAAGACAAATCATTCTTCCAGTAGTGTGAGAGTATGTGTGTATAAGATCTCTAGAACTCTTTATCTACTTTCTGTTACCTGGCGGCGCAGAGGGATCTGTTTGGTCAGCTTATGCACTGCCGGCTGACTCCCGAAATCAGGCTTCTTAGCCGAAGTTCTCATTCGACAAACCACCACGATCACCACCATACAGGCGATGAGAAAGACGCCTATGCAGTAGATGGCGATCTCCACATAGTCCGGAGGGTAGTCCGTCTCAATGGCGTCTGGCTCGGCTGTAGAGTAACGAGAAGAATCGAAAAGAATTGGACAAAGTGAGGCGAGTCATCCAGCCGAGGAATACTGCACCAGAAACCTTAATGTTGGACACAGCACAGTTTTAAGATGGTTAAGAAGGACATTAAGGTTTCAGAGCAAGATGTTCCGCCAGTGATAACAAAACAGAAGAGAAAAAGGTGAAGGTGACTAAAGAATTACAAGATGAATCAACACACACACACACACACCTTTGACATAAAACTATTCTCAAACTACTAAATGTTCTACAAACTACTTTCCTTCCAGGGCTGTTGCAATAAATAACTAATAAAGAGATTTTATTTAGATGTTGCTCTTCAGCTCAGGAAACTTTCATTTAAGTATCAACTTAAGTAAGAACTATAAAATGATTTTGAAGGGCAGTTCAACATTTGGAGTTCATATTAAAGGGTTAGTTCACCCAAAAATGACTTTCTTTCTTCTTTCACACGAATCCAGTCTGAGGTATCTAAAAAATTGTCTTTGATCTTTCAAGCTGTTTCATGGCACTCAGCGGGTGTTGCATGCATCAGTTCAAAAGAAGTTAAATAAAAAACGCTGACCTCATATGTAGGGATGGGTACCGAAACTCAGTATTTAATCGGTACCGGGGCTAAATTATGAAAGACCGGAGTATCGATAAGCTCTGACGTTAACGGTTCTGCTATCGGTACTGGAGAAATTAATAAAACACACATACATTTATTATTGCTATATATACATTATCTTGCAAATTCTATCTCACCAGAGTCACCCGCTGTTTTTCAAACATTTGTCTATGATGCATTTTTGCTATTCGCAATTCAGAAGCAAGATCGTGCTCACGCGGAGGAGCTTCAGCACGCGCAACATGAAAGCCCTGTTTAATTATGATAGAAGAGAGAACTAAACATTCAAACATCTGCTTACACTTTAGGCCTGTGGCTGTTTTATTAAGCTAATTTAATTTTTTTATTTCAATTTTGGTTAAAACCTTAACGATCCCCATCCCTACTCATACGTCATCAGCCCGGAGCTGCTTCAGTGTACTGACTGTTGGCGCAAGCTACATTAAAGTAATTATTACGTTCTGAATATGGATATTTTTCTTACAAAAACGCATCGATTCGCTACAGAAGGCCTTTGTTCACCCCCCGGAGCCGTGTGAGACACTTTTTTATGGATGGCTTTTTATTTAACTTCTTTTGGACTGATGCATGCAACACCCGCTGAGTGCCATGAAACAGCTTGAAAGATCAAAGACAATTTTTAATATATACCTCCGACTGGATTCGTCTGAAAGAAGAAAGTCATATACACCTAGGATGACTTGAGGGTGAGTAATTTATGGGCTAATTTTCATTTTTGGGTGAACTAACCCTTTAAGACACGTGATATTTCTGGTGTCTTCGAAGAAAGATTTGAGACTTAAGCCTTAATTTGATCTCCATTTAATAACAGATAATAGATATTTAAGAGATCTCCTTGGTGATCTTTCTTTCCATCATAGCATATTTCCTGACACTCAATGGCCCCTGCAAACATACACACGCTCACAAAATGGTTTACATATAACCACAGCATTGAAGAACTTCCTGACACTTGAGGTCCTCCAGAAATGCACACTTCATGGATACGATTGACACACAAACACACACATACTGACTTCCATCTGTCTGACCGCAGACCAGTAAGTGGTGCCATTTGCGGTCAAAGATTTCATCTGTTTCCTTGTCAGGAAATGGACTCTTATTAAAATGCAGTGCGGTGCACGCTGTTGCATTATGCACGTTAGCATGCACAGAGGACACTGTCTTGTGCATGATGACAGATAGCTTTTGTGTTCGTAAAACTATGCTGAATTCACTAATATTCATTTAAACCTGTCCAAATTAAAAAAAATAAAAAAAAAAATGTACTGAAATATCTAAATCTAGTCCTAAATCACACTCAAAAACACACACAGGCACAGACACTGAGGTTGTGAAGTGGCGCTAATAACTAAGAAAGTCCAGCATGTGAGAAGGTAAGCAAATCTTGAGACTTTCTTTAGAGAACAAAGCAGTAATTAGAGCTGAAATGGAAAAAGACTTTGAAACGTATAGGAATAGTTCACCCCAAAAATCAACATTTTATCATCATTAACACCCTCATGTCATTTTAAACCCGTCTGACTTTCTTTCATCAGTGAAACTGCTCTTTTTCGTACAACATAACCATATGGTGACCAGCGTCAAGCTTCAAAATAAGGCAGTTCATATGACTCATGCGATATATTCCAAGTCATATGATAGTATTGTGCAAAGAACAGACTACAGAACATATTCCCCATGTCTCTCATTCAGTTTCATAAATTCTTTCATATAACTGGATGTTTTGTTCATTTGGTGTTCCACAGAAGAAAGTCGGTCATACTTTATGACATGATGGTGAGTAAATAATGACAGAATTGTAATTTTAGACGAACTATACCATCAAAACATGTCTTTCCAAACATGCAACCAATAAAATGTTAGTTGGGAAGAGAAAATTGAAAATAACAGGGATCTCGAGACACTTGGGTGCAATTTTAGAGATTTTCAGCCCAAAATATTATTTCATAATTCTTACATTTGATGAACAAATTCATTATGATGCTAAAAAATTTAACATTCAACAATAAAGAACCTAAAATTTTGGGTAAAATGAGTACCAAGGTTATTATTGTTATATATACAGTATATATACAGTATATATATATATACACATATATATACTAGAATATTTTTAATATTTCAAGTAAAAATGTGAATATGTCTTAATATGTTACAAACAAACATTAATTATCATCAACTCAAGCACTATTATATTTGCACATTGA